CAGGGCAGGCCCAAAAAATTTTAACCCAAACAAACTAAAAAAAAAAAAAAAAAAAAAACAAAACACAGAGCAGTCCTGGTTCTTAACAAGGTGCTGATTATGTGCAGAAAGTCCCACTCAGGAACTGGGGTTCAGGAGGAGCACATGCAGAGTGCCATGCAATTTAAAAAGCATTTTCCTCACATGATGTCATTTGATCTTCACAACTTGGTGACATCATGTCACCTCATGTTACCCACGAGGAAACTGTAGCTTGTAGTAGTGATATATTCAGGCTCACAGAGCTAGGCCTAGAAGTCAAAGCTTCCGAATACTGTTTCCGTATTCTTGCCAACATGCAGTACCTGACTCTGAAATGGAAGGGTGGCCAGTGGCTGGAGGCAACATACATAAAACGACATGGAAAGTATCTGTAGTTGGAGTTCATTTAAAAAAATAAATAGACATTTAAGTACACGAATGAATCTGACTCTGACAAAGAAGTGTGAAAACGACCTAGGGAGCATGAATTTTCACTAACATGGTGGGTGACGAAAAGGCTTCCCTGTGGTCTGCATGTCTCCATGTGTCCCTTCACACGTCTGACCCTACTGTCCTCGCCTTCACAGATGCTGCTGCCAGGCACATGCACGTGGCCCAGCAGGGCGACGGGCACCTGGCGAGTTAGAATCCGTGCCCACCCTTCTCTGGCTCCTGATGCTGTTGAGCCTCAGCCCCTCAGTGCCATGATTCGATGGTACTTTCCTTCTCTGAATCTCTGTCCCAATTGTTTCACGTGTTCCTGGATGGCGCTCTGCTTTCCCATTCATTAATTTTATTGGCTGCTGTCAGTTTCAAACCTTACGTACTGTGCTTCCTGGGCTAATGTGAAGGAGTTAAAATAATACCACGTCTTGCCATGCATGAAGCCTCCTTCACAGGCTGGCTTGCCAAAAAAATGACCTAACTAACCACGTTTTCAATACCTCATTAATTTTACTTTTAATTTCTTCCAAGTGAAGCATAAAAAATGTTTACATATGCACATTTGAAGTGAACGATAATGTGTATCCTACCCCCTTTTTTGCAATTAATGTTTCTATATGTTACGCCGAATGGAAACACACAGCTAATACTTGGACTCTGCTTCTCTGTGCGGAGCGCCACTTACCTGCCCCACACCGACAACTGCCGCAGGGAGGCAGGCCTCTGACCCAAGGCTTCCTTCCAGCCTTGTTTACCCCACCTCCACTGTGCCCCTGAGGATCTCCCCACTTCCTTACAGGCTCCCCAGAGGGAGGGGGCGCTCTGCTCTCTCCTGAAGAGCCATTGGAGGGTTCCCTTAGACTGAGCCTTTGCTACCACTAGATAGTTAAGCTACTTCCTCCATTTTCCTTATTTCCTTCATTTTCTTAGAGCAACAGCACTGTAGCCTCCCTGCTGGCATTCCATGTCAATTTTCCTTTCTTTTTTCATTTTGCCCTTCAAAAGCCTCTATCTCGTGTACGTAAATGTGAATCTAGTTTCCTGGCAAGTAAACGGCACTGGGCTGGGGACAGGCGAGGACGGCGACCATCAGCGTCACCCGAGCTCTCGCCCTCATGCGGTATTCATACCGAGCTCTTCCTGCTCTTACGAATCCCACAATCAAGCTGACGAGGCGGGCGGCCTCCCCGCACTTCTGTTCTCCGGGTGTTTGGGAAAATTGCACTGATGGTGAGCCAGCCGAGCAGGCTGCGGATCCTTCCGGGCTACAACCGGCCCCATTGTTTGTTTTAAAGGACAAAGGAAGCAGTTTTTCTTCAAAAAGAAGACGGTTTCTCCCCCAGCTTGCTTTCCCCTGTCTGACAGAGTGCCATTGTCTAGCTCCAGGTTTAATCTGAGCGGGCAGGCTAGCTACTTCATCGACGCAGCACAGGGACCCCGGACCCACCATTCGTGATCATAGCTTCCATGGCTCTACAGGTTTTCAGACAGATAACGAATCAGAGCAAAGTAATGCCAACAGAAGCGCATTCGTTGAACAGCATAGGTAGATGCGAGGGAGAAATCAAACAAATACAATGCAACAATGCCTTCATTCGCTTCCAAGACTCTAGAAAAAAATGCCAGCTTCTAGAGGTTGCTGTCAGTCAAGTAAGAGTATGACACTTCAGAAAGAACTGTTTTCTGATTTCACGTGAAGGTCAGATGTCCTTTCATGATACTGGTTTCTAACGTTTTGTTTCTTTACAAGAGATTCTCTTTCAAGAAAGAGAAATCCTGGGACCAGCAGTTGGCATAATGACTGTGTCAACTCTGGTTCGAGTCCCGGACCTGGCGGCTTAAACTCACGCCGGGCGCGTGTGCGTGCATGCCCAAGATGCCAAGAGGAGAATGGAGGAGAAGGGATTGTGGTGTGGCCATCCCCCCTGGGGGGTGATTTCTCACTTTCTGTCTCTCTGTCTCTGTCTGGTGAGCGCACGCGCCCTATAGCAAAAACCTCTCCAAAAAATAAAAGAAAGAAAGAAAGAAAGAAAGAAAGAAAGAAAGAAAGAAAGAAAGAAAGAAAGAAAAAGAAATCCTGTCTGCCTTCTCTAATTTCTGGAATATATTCTGTTTCATAGTATACACAAACCAAAAAAGCCCTTAGTACTCAACTTTAAGGTAGTGTTTTGCTTTCAAACTTCCGTTTAAGGTATCTTAATATTTGGGAAGGCATTTTGCTCACATTTTATATTTCGAAGGCCACTCATCCAGAAGTTGGGGTTCCCTGCGTGAGCCCAGGACTCAGCTTAACTGCCTAGTCTGTAAACTGTTTAACAGGCAGGCAGTTACATAGCAGCCTAGTGATACTGGTGCAGGTCCAGGAGAGAACCTTCCGGAAACAAGGGCTGCTCCTTTCTCTTTTGGGCACCGGCATGTGAAATGCAATTACCAAAAATTTTCTGATTAACATTTTTTTTCCTAGCAAGCATTGCAGTTTTTCCTCCCTCCACATGGCTGGTTTTAGATTTTTTTATCGACATGTAATCACTGTACATATCTGTGGGTCCAATGTGATTTTTTAATATAAGAGCACAATGTATGTTGATCAGATGAGAGCAGTTAGTACAGCTGTCTTCTCGGACATTCGTCCTGGGCTTATGTCGGAAATATTCAAAATCGTCCTTCCTGAGATGGACAGGAGTAGTTATTAACTACATTAAGTATAGGTAACTATAGTAACTCTTCCGTATTGCGTGGCACTAGAAATTGTCCCTCTTGTCTAGCTGTAACTTTGTTTCCATTGACCAACATCTCAAAAGATTGGTGGTGGTTGAAAGTCCTTACTAATGTGCACAGTGGTCCATTTCAAAATAAATCCTGCCGGTTGTCGGGACAGCCCGAGGAGCCAGTGCAGAAGGTCATTCGGCAAGAACGGCGGTACAAGGGAAGCTGGAAGTGCATGCAGTCCATTGGGTGAACAGAATCCATCTTACATAACATTGCTCAGGACTCAGTTTACATAAAGTAAGTTTATCTTATATCGGAGACAGTAGACAAGTCCTCACCATTCTAACACTTCGGTGACATACACAAAGTCATCCCCTATAGGTAGACAAAGCCCTGTCTGATCACCACCGGGAGAGTGGAGGCCAGGTTTGATTTCAGCACTTCTTGCCCCTCGACCTCGCTCTGTAACACAGGGCAACAGTAAACTCATCTCAGTTACGCTGGAAGGGACTCCTCAGTATATTCGCCTACTGGGAAAAAAGGGTGTAAACGATTCTATACAATGATGGAAGGAAACATTGATTTGCGCTTCATAGCATAGCTTCTGGAAGATCTAACTACATTCTAGCACGCTCCGACTTCAGCCCCCAAGGAGAGGTCTCGTTCTGTGGTCTTGCTCTAACACACTTCCCTTTCTCTGGGGCCTAGGGGGGCTCCCGTGCGTGCTCAGGGGTGATGGCGAAGCTGCAGTACGCCAGCCTGCTCAGCCAGCTGCAGAGAGTGAAGGAGCAGTCCCAGGTGACTCACCAAGCGATGGCCGAGCTGGCCACCATCCCCTACCTGCAGGACATCAGTCAGCAGGAGGCAGACTTGGTGAGTGTTTCTTCTCTTTGTTTGAGGATTTCACAGGCCTTGAGCCAAGAGAAATGTGATAGGATCGGGGGGACAAAATCACGGTAATAAATGTAGTCTGAAGGAAAATGTCCCAACCCTCACGGAGCCTTCTAATGAAGAAACCGGAAAACGTCGGAAGGTGTGTGTGCGCCCAGCTTCTATTTGCCCGCATCAACTCTAACTTCCATTTCTTTTTAATAGCAAAAAACTTCGTGCCATGTAGAAACTGGGGACAGGGCTGACTGTTGATTTTCTGTGTCCGACTTTCTGTTTGAAGTAAGATGGGGTTTTAATAAATTGTTTCTTAAACTCTCAGGTATGTTAACATATGAGCCTCTTGGATGAAAACGTGGCAGGACAAGAGAATAATACCTCTACAGAAAAACAACCCCACGAAATAAATTTTAGAGCTCTCCTAACCCTTTCTGGTGTTACCATGGATATAGCCGCAGTGCCGTAACACATACTAGTATACAGTTAAATCAATAAAGCAATTGTTTGAAACAAAAATGTAATTAGTCAATATAGCTGGGTTTTTTGGATTTTTTTTTCTTAGCTTAATAAACCACTTAGAAAATCAGACATTCTCAACCTTACACAGACCCATCTAGCATTAAAGGCACATCTCACAGAAACAATCTTCAAACAGCAGTGTGTGTTACAGTCATAATTAATAGTAGAAATGACAGCACACTTGCTAGACAGTGTGCTGCCCATTCAAGGGAAGGTAAAATTTACAAGGTCTTCATGTCTTGTAGGCAAGGCCTTTGTACTTGGAAGCTTTAATTGAGAGTAGCTAAAACTATAGACTTGAATGGAATTCACCTAGCAAGGATGAGAACAACCCAAACTGATTACTGTAATTTTCAGATAACTCAAGGAACCCTCCCTCTTCGAGCTTTTGAAGATGTAATCAAGAAACGAGCTGCCACCTTGTAGAATGTTCATTTAAACCTGGTAAAAGTGTATTAAATAAATACTGGTATTCAGAATGAGCGGATGCAATGGCCCGACTAGCCAAATAATAAAATGATGCATACGAAAGAGAAAAACTATGAAGTGAGTCTTTAATCAAGGAATTACTAAGTCAAAACTGGCAATCTCCTTTCTAAACCGTTGTGGCTGTCTGCGGAAGAACGCCTTCTAAAGGGCTGTTTACCCTGCCATTCACGAGACATTCAGGAGTTGCAGTAAGTGTGCAGCCTTCAAAGTGCATATTATAGCCAATTTGAGATGATTAATGTTCCTCCGAGATAAGAGGAAGCAAAGAAAATGTTAATTTAAGAAACCAGCAAAATGTTGATCCTGTCTTCCTGAAAAGCACATTCAAGATCAAAATGAAAAATACAGGGGAGTACTCTGCACTTAAGGGTTCTTAACCACATGTCTTTTGCCTGGAAATACTTATTTTTCAAAATATACACAAATAGCGCCAAACTAGCATTATTGACATCACTGTCTAATGCCCAATTTTTCACTATCTCGCACCTTGGAAAATGGAATTTCATGGGTTATCTTCATAATTTCTATTCCTACCAGAAAAAAAAAATTGAAATATGTATGGCTATAGATGTATACGCCAAATATTTTTAAATTATGTATCTTAGAAGATGTTATCACCTTAAATAATAGGTTTTTCCTTTCCAGTTCCAAGTAGGATGCTATATAAACTCTGCAAGAGCAGACTTCTGAGCGCTCGACTCTCCGCCCTCCTACCTAAGCTCTGCCGTATGTAAAGCACCGAAAGTTATTGCAGGGCTCAGGCTGCCCGCTGCCGTGGACCTGAATGGGCCACTTGATCTTTTTTTAAAGGACTTTTTTAACCTTTGAATGTCACGTGATTTGGTGCAGTTTCACCCCTTGGCAGCCATATGCATTGCGTGTAGAGGATGGTTTTCAGCTGGAATACGACCGTCCTATTTTGGGCCAAGGGTAGAATATGTAAACTTGCCTTTGAATAGTACTCAAAAAAAGAAAAAGATTCATTTATTTTGGAATTTAACAAAGAACCGTAAGAGAACGTAAATGAGCTAGATTCCCTAAGAGGCGATAAAAGAGCGCAGTTTCAGAATTGTCCTCTGGTGAGCTTTCGCTTGGTGCCAGGAATTATGATGCATTAGCCTCGGGAGAAAATACGGAAACGCATTCATGTTCTACATGCCATTTCCGGAGAGAATTCACCACCGCCTTCATCCTTTACGACCCAAATCTGTTTTTAACAAAACATCCACACTGACTACATTAAAACCTATATGTTTCCGACAAATTTTCAGGAAGACTTTCCCTTTTGTCTCAGTATTTTATATCTGCAGTTATACTCAGTAATGACTGAGGCAAAGAGGAGGTGGCGGTGTTCATTGTGGGAAGATGAGTAATAAAATCATCAGCGTACAAATGATTTTTTAATTAGGTTTTAATCTGTGTGTTTAGAGAAGTTATTTCTGTGTGAATTCCACACTGATAATTTTTATCTTGGTGCCACAGCTGCAGTCACTAATGGCAGATGCTATGGACACCCTTGAAGGAAGAAGGAACGATAAAGAACGTGTGTGGAATACCATCCAAAAGGTAAAACTGGAACTGGAGGAAAAAGATACGTTCTTCTCAAAGAACATGTCCAACTTGGGCCAAATCTATTTAGGGGAAAAAACAAACAAACAAAAAAACCTTCTCCAGTGTGTTTTTTTGTTGGATTGTTTTCTTTTTGCAGTAAATGCAGTTCGCTGTCCCTGGAAGTGTAACCAAAGTATGGACTTATTCCACCTGTGCCCTCAGGTCTGCTTTTCCAGCAGGCGGTGGGCATAGGCTCTCTTGATTCCTCTTCATTGTCATGCTCATTTTCTATTCGACTTTCATTATCTGCTTCTTCGTTGTTGGTTGACATCATTGTTTAAAGCCCTTTCATCAGTGTTTTAATTCACTCCCCAATTACTTCCCCCATTTTGAGTAATATGGCTACATTTCAGGAACTACGAAGACATTAGCACATTTATGTTCTCCGTAGAGGAGAACACACTGGATTTTAGAAGCAGAGCAACGTGGCTTCGATGGCTACACCCATTTAAATACATCCAGACCAAGATGCGCCTGACTTCGGGTACTCGGGAGACTTTCCTAAGTCCAGAGGACTTCCTGAAGACATAAAAGTCAACAATGTAGACCCTTCAGTCCACCCCAAGACAGTGAATTCTGTTCAACATGTTCAACACTCAACCCACAAAGAGAGACTGGTGTCAGGAGTGAGAGCAATAAACCAAGGCCATGAATTCAAAGGAGAACAGCCAACCCTACAGGATTCGGGCTTGGCTATTTCTTCTGAAGAAACATGCATTCTTCTCTAACCAACCCAGAGGCTATATGTGTATACACACACATTACACACATCTTATATACATGCATACATATGTATATGTAGAGATATATATAAATACAAACATGTATACATTTATACGTGTGTGTGTATATATACACATACACACACACACACACACACACACACACACATATATATATATATATATATATATATATATAAAATCAGAAAACAACTGAATTCAGCAAATATTCATTGCCTATGTGGGCCTTACCATCTATGTGGCTATATATATTGAGTTGTCAGAAGTCATGACATATTTTTCCTATGCAAAAATGCATCATGACTTTTTGACAACTCAAAGCTTCTACTGAGTATTATAGAAAAAAGGGGATGTTCGATAATCTATGAAAACAAATAGCGGGAAAATAGGCTGGTTTGGGAGACAAGAAAAGCCATCTCTGAGAGAGTGATATTTACACAACATGTAAAGCACATGTAATAGTCATCCAGGTAAAAGGGATCTCCCCAGAGGGAACAGTTTGTACCGAGAATGGAAGAAAGCGTGGTGCGTTCAAAAACTCACAAAAGAGTCAAGAAGATACTTCAAAATGAGTCACGGAGGCAGGACAGGTGAGATCACAAATGGACTTATAAATAAGGGTCTGGAAAGCGCCAGTGTGTTTAAGTAGCGCAGTTTCTGTGACGTCTCTAGGGCTGTGGCAGGAAGAGCAGGCTGAGAGGCTGCAGAAATGTGGCCAGTCACGTGCTGATCATCACCCGGGTGAGGCATGGCGGTGCTGGGTTTGGGTTGCAGGCACAGAGAAGGAGGGAAGCGGACACTACAAGGAATCCTCAGGGGACCAGTGGTTGGTGTAATGGTTACATCGCTAGATTCCCATGTAGTTGACCTGGTTTGAGTCCCACACCTGGCAGCTTAAAACTCACACCTGGCATATGTGTGTGTGTGCCCAAAATCCCAAGAGGAGAATGGAGAAGAGATTTTGGCATCACCATCCCCCCTGGGGGTGATTTCTCACTTTCTGTCTGTCTCTATCTCTCCAGTGAGTGTAGGCGCCCTGTAGCAAAAAAAAAATCTCTCCCTTAAAAAACAAAAGGAATCCTCAGGAATCCACCGCTACTGGCCCTGTTCACTGATGAGACATGGAGTTGAAATAAAACAGAAAGTTAACAGCGATAGCTGGATATTTGTTCGAGCAATGTGGCAGGTGACAGGGAGAAGTTTATCAGTTTGCCATGTCATTTATTAAGGAAGGGAACCCCATGGCAGCAGCTTGTAGCTGAGAATATACATTTTTTAAATTATTTATGTATTTACTTTATTTGTTATTATTATTTGTTTTTTAATTTGACCAGAGAGACACAGTAAGAGAACGAGAAAGGGAAAGTGAGAAAGCAAGCCGCCAGGTCTGGGACCCTAACCTCAGCTGGTCATGTGGGAGTCCAGTGCCTTAACCACCACACCACCTCCCAGCACTGAGAACATCAACTCTTAGAGTTCACTCAAGAGACAGAAATCATGCCAGATATTTGAAGGTAAATTTAATATAAAGAGTGGTTAACTAACTAGGATGTTGTTAGCTAGGTAACTGAAAATGGAAAGGAGAACAGTAAATTATCATGAAGGAAGCAATTAAAGAAAGCAGCAACTACCCCTTAGGTCTGAGGAATCAAAGAGAAGACAGTAGAGTTACACATACACACACACACACACACACACACACACACATATATATATATATATATATATATATATAAAAAATCAGAAAACAACTGAATTCAGCAAATATTCATTGCCTATGTGGGCCTTACCATCTATGTGGCTATATATATTGAGTTGTCAGAAGTCATGACATATTTTTCCTATGCAAAAATGCATCATGACTTTTTGACAACTCAAAGCTTCTACTGAGTATTATAGAAAAAAGGGGATGTTCGATAATCTATGAAAACAAATAGCGGGAAAATAGGCTGGTTTGGGAGACAAGAAAAGGCATCTCTGAGAGAGTGATATTTACACCACATGTAAAGCACATGTAATAGTCATCCAGGTAAAAGGGATCTCCCCAGAGGGAACAGTTTGTACCGAGAATGGAAGAAAGCGTGTTGCGTTCAAAAACTCACGACA